CAGGAGGAATAAATTATTTTAATGTTCTCTGCAGAAGAAAAGTCGGTCACCACGAGCAAAGACTGCAACGTTGGATTACATTTCTTGATCATTATATGTTTGTTAATAATTTCATTATTTCGTTTGTGCCCTTCATTTTCCCTAGTCATTAATGAAGTCTGGGGAGAGCAAACTATTGCCCGTCTCCTGCAGCTAATAGATCTTCCATTGCTTGATTCTTTACTTAAACACCACAAGATTGGATCCCAATTTCCACAAACAAAGCAGGAACCTGAACATAGCATCACAAACAACTATCTTGACCGAGAAATACTAAAAGCCTTTGGTGATGCTCAGTAAGTATTTATGTATATATCTGTACGAATAGGAAGGCAAAAAAACTTATTTATCAGTTATTTAGGAAGGCATTTTATTTGCCTTCCTAAATAAACAATATTTTTTTTCAACCAGCGAAGGACGAGATTCAAGTATAGAGTAGACATGGGCAAACCTTTTGTGATTTGAGGCAAGGTTTGCCCATGTCTACTCTATACTTGAATCTCATCCTTTGCTGTTTGAACAAAAATATTGTTTATTTAGGAAGGCAAATAAAATGCCTTCTTAAATAACTGATTTTTAATTTTGGAGAGTTTTAAAGGAACATACGAGACATTCCTGTCCTTTTATGGCCTCTGAGGGAAATGGGACTGAATGAGGGCCTTAAGAGAATTACAATCCCCCCCCCCATTTTAGAAAATCCACCAATAGGAAAAAACTGCTGTACTGATTGGGAGATGTGTATATGAGTGATGAAAACATTAGGATCCGGGCACCCATTTTGTCCCTTAAGTCCTCCTGCAAGTTCAGAAAACTGAACATATTGGCCTCTCTGTCCTGCCTCCACATATTGCAGAGGTCTTGTGGGCCATATGTGGGGTACAAGATGCTCACTCCTGAGTTTTGGGATGGGTTCTCCTCCTTCTGTGTCATAATCTCTGCCCAAATGTGCCATCCTCAGTGGCTGCTTTATCTTCTTTAAGCAGAGATCCTTTCATTATTGTTCCTTTGGCCCTAGCATGTTCGCTTGACTTCCAGTGGGACTTATTCACAACAAAATGTTATCTGCAGTAGAGCCAATACTATAGTCAATAGAACATTGTAGGCATTATCTTTTTCTAGGGCAGATGAATGGCTTTCAGCAGCAATTGACTGTTTGGAGTATCTCCCAGATGCGATGGTGGTTGAAGTAAGCCGCAGTTTACCTGATCGGTCTGACAAAGTGCATGTGGGGAAACTGTTGTTGTTTGATACTATTGGGAGGTATTACAGCCAAAAAAAGGAACCATTGCTAAACCATGTGCCTGAAATCCACCTGGGAATTGCTGAGTTGCTAGGTAAGTGAATGGATTTAACACACATTGTAAAAAGCAAAGTGTTTTGTCATACAAATTTGTCATGTATTCCCCCTCCTCCCTGTGTTGCTCTGTCAAACAGGCCATCCAGAGAAAAGCAAGTATCCATGGGATCTCCATCATGCTGCTTAGATTTCGAAAAGTAGGGTAATGCACAAAGGTTTACTTATAAAGGCAATGGGAGAATCCTAAATGCAGGCTGTTACTTTTTTTAAATAGCCTATGATGTGATGGAAATAAAGATGACAGCCAATTTGGTCTATTGGGCAAGGCAACCACCCAGGAGGTTGTGAATTCTATTCCCACTTTAGGCATGAAAACTGGCTGGGCAATCTTGGGCCAGTCATTCCCTCTCAGCTCAACTCACCACACTGGTTGTTGTTGCAGGGAAAATAGGGGCAGGACCAAGTATTAAATATGCTCGCCACTTTGAGTTACAAATAATAATAATAATAAAAGATGGGGTAAAAAGGTCAGATGTGCATTTAAAATATATCTATTCAGTTTTAACAAATCAATTCTATCTTGCTTCATATCCACATACTGCACTAAACCATGCTTTGTTTTACTATAGTTTTTAAAGTAAACTACGGTGGCCATATTACATAACATGCTAAATTCTAATCTATGATTTAGAAACCCCAGTGCCAGACTTTACAGCTAAGCCAAAACCAAGCAACAATGATCCAATTATCACAGTGTGAAATCCACTCTATGTGAGGGCCAGTGATAAGTAGTGAATATCTGCCAGTTTTCCAATGTGTAGCATTGCAGGATACATTCTCCTACCAATGCAGTGATGTTATCCATATGTCTATGGACATTCTCAGTCATCCAGGTCATGGTTGACCCAAAGGTGCTTTTCAAAAGGCAACTGGACTTTGAAGACATTTTGCTTCTCATCCAAGAACCTTCTTTGGTTAACAGTGAAACACACCGTTGGGATGTAACCTTTAGCTTTACCTATATCACTGTAGAGTCCTCTGTAACAAGCAGATCAGTGACATTTGTATATACACAGGTAGTTCCCAACATACAGTTATTCATTTAGCAATTGTTTGAAGTTAAAAGGAACTGAAAAAAGTGACTTACAATGGATGCTCATACTTACAACTGTCTCGGCATTCCCCTCAGTTACGTGATCAAAATTTGAGCTCTTGGCAACTGTGTATGTATTTACAATGGCTGCAGAGTCCTGGGGTCACATGATCTTCAATTGTGTCCTTCACAACTGGCTTTCAACAAGGAAAGTCAATGGGGAAAGAAGGATTTGCTGAACGATCAAAGTAACACTTCTTCACTTAACAACTGCAGTAAAACCCTATAAAAGCAACCATCTCCAAGTCAGAATGCCATTGAATGCCATGATCCTAACTAAAGCTATCTTTATGCCTGCAGGTCATGTGTTTGCATGTAATACTTAATCAGGACTTTTATGTATGTATTAATACAATTAATTTCTAAGTGAAGCAGACAATAGTCAATATGTCATGTACTCCTTATAAGGGGAAACTTCCATAATGAACGTTGGAAATCTATAACAATGTGATAGGGATTTGCCAGCAGATTCATTCTGCCAGTGTGTCATATTGGCAGTGGTAGTGGTGTTATTATTTATAGCTAAAAAATAACTAGGATTCTAATTAAATCAAGAAGCTGTGAGGTTTGATAAAGGGACTATTTTCTGAAATATTTATGATCTTATTAAGCATATTATTTTAGTAAAAAAATTAAAGTAAGTTCTGGTGCAGATCATGAAAAAAAAAGTTGATTTAATTAATCTGATCTAAATTTATATTTCACATTCTTATATAGTTTATTATAAGACAAAAATGGCAAACCATGCATATGTTTGTCAATCGGTATTTAAATAAAAATACAATGTAACAATTTGGTTTGGTTTTCCCTCCAGTTAATGGAAAAACTGATCAGGCTTTGGAAGCCATTCAGCTGTATTTAAAATTATTGGATAGCCCTGCAAGAGAGGAATTCAGGAAACTGCTTTATTTCATGGCCGTGATCGCTCAGAATTCTGAACTTAAGCTACAAAGTGAGGCAAGTACTTCAAGTGTGAAACCTCTTTATGTTCTTTGGTGACATGGGGATGTGGATAGAGAACTTGTGGACCTTCAGATCAGTGGTGGGTTTCAAAATTTTTTACTACTGGTTCTGTGGGTCTGGCTTGGTGGGCGTGGCTTGGTGGGCGTGGCAGGGGAAGGATACTATAAAATCTCCATTCCCACCCCACTCCAGGGGAAGGTTACGGCAAAATCCCCATTTCCTCCCAATCAGCTGGGACTCGGGAGGCAGAGAATAGAAGGAGGCGGGGCCAGTCAGCATTTTTATTACCGGTTCTCCGAACTACTCAAAATTTCCACTACCGGTTCTCCAGAACTGGTCAGAACCTGCTAAAACCCACCTCTGCTTCAGATGTGCTAAACTACAACTCCCAACAACCTAATCTACAGCAATCAATATGGTAATTCAGGAATATCAGGAAGGCTTCAGGTTCCTGAATGCTGTTAGACAGTGGATCATTCCAGTGTCAATGATTAATAGCTGAAATCAAAGACTACAGTGGTACCTCAGTACAGGTTGTTAATTGATTCCGGGAGGTGCAAGGAGTACTAAAAAAGACAAATCCCAAACAAATCATGTGACCCTTTGTTTCAGCCAGGAATAATTTCGTCTGTCCCTTTTCCTATGTCAGCAACATCCTTTTGCAGCGACCTTCTCAGCATGGCTGTCTTGCTGTCTGTTCTCTTCTGCCATCCCCTTCTTCCTATCACAATATGTCAAGTACTAAACAAACGCCGAGTACTGGGACAACATTTTCACCTCAAAATGCGTCGAATACCAAATTTGACGGGTTTTGAAGCAATCAACTACCGAGGTACCACTGTATATAGGAAAAGACCACAATTATACATGGCAACATCATTCCTCCTGAGAAGAAGAACAGTGAAGTGAGAAGGTGACCTCAGCATGGATTTCTACACCATGATTATGAACTTCTAATATTGCCCCAGGAAAGCATCACAATAAGCTGGCTGACGTAGTTTAGTGCTGGAAGGGAGACCATGGGAAGAATGCTCCCATGGGTTGCCCTGAAATAAATCAACCTCATTTGCATAATGTTTAAAATTGCTTGCACTTGTATAACTATGGTTGACTGCCCTTTTACAAAATGGTCAATTTACTAAGACTAAAAGGCATGCATTTGAAAAATGTGAATATATACTATAATTATAGCTATAGGAAATAAGGTGGATCTATCAGTACAAACTTTTAATCCTTCTGCTTCTCCCCACCCCCCACCCCTTCCCGGTTTATAGAGTGAAAATAGGATGGTTGTGAAAAGAATGTTCTCCAAAGCCATAATCAACAATAAAACATTATCTAAAGGAAAAACAGATCTTTTGATTTTATTTCTAGTGGACTATCAGAAAGATGTTTTAAAGGTAAGTATCCACAAGTCATTTTCTCCACACTATTATGAGTAATCTATTCCATTCTTAATAACTAATGTTATTTTATTTTGTTCAAGATTTCAGGGACGCTACATAAAATGGTCAGCGATAAGCTTCTGGCTATACAGAGAGGCACAGATTCCAGTCTGAATATTGGTAAACTTTATTTTCATAAGCTTTAGTCATGTTAATAATAAACTTTAGTGTGAGCTGCTCTGGGCATAGTCCACTATGAAAATGAAGCTGCTAAACAGTCTAGAAAAATCTGCTCTTTTGCAGAAAGAGTGACATTAAAAGTAAATAAATTTATCAATATGGGCTATGCAAAACTTTACATGGTATTTTCAACCTATTCAGAAGAAGTACTGAATATCTCAGTGCTTACCATTTTCTAACACTAAACATCCTAAACTTCATGGAAAGAGAATTGGGATTAGTCGGGCAACTTTAAGCAAGACAGATATTCTACCTTTATCCAAAAAAATTGAAATCTCCAGAATCACTCTATGAATTATAAATAGGGGAATATTATGAAAACATTTAAGAAAACCATTATAAATACCTCAAACGTCTATGTTATTTTTAATAATGAATTTTATTCTTATTCCAGGATATACTTTTTGCCAGAGGCTTGATGAATGTGAGTATCATTTCAGTGCCAAAAAAACTACAAAAGAGGAACTGGTGTCTTTACTAAAAACTATTGATGAAGACTCCAGTCTCCCCGCCAAGGAACGCAAGAAGTTGCTAGATCAATTCTATACTAGTAATCCAACTATCTTTTTGCAGTATTTTGGTGAGAGAGATGTTCCTGTGTGTAATGGTAGGCTTGACTTCTAAAAATCTGTACTGTGTATCTTTATAAAATTGTTTTATATTGTACTTAAAGGTGTTATGTAAATAAGGGTGGAACCCACCTGTAAAACTGCTATTTAAAAACAATAAAACCTATTGATTCATATTCTAAATAGTGAAAAGATAGTATTTCTCCTAAATGCGTAGGAAATACATCATCAAAAGCTGAAAGCAAGTATCTTTTGACCTCCTTTGTGAATACAAGCCCTTTGAGCAGAATGCAGTTCAGAGAAAAGAAATATAATTGAATTGCTGATGGTTTTAGTTGTAGTGTATGTTCTTGTTACAGTCACATGACACCTGGCCATGTATTTTGCTTCTGGCAAGTGTATCCAATTTATTGTCATTTGATATATTCCAGTAGCATGCTGAAGTACAATTGGCGCCCATGGCAGAAATGGTCAGGTGAGTGGTTGACCAGTACCACAACATACCAGCTCAAAATAAGCAGTCATTCCTTGTATTTGAAAGCCAAATGACTGAAAGAAAAGCCATTTATAACACATTAAAACAACTGTTGAACCTTTGTAACTTTCTTTGTTTACAACCCTGAAACTGCAGAGGAAAGTCTGGAATTAACACCATAAACACTTTTTAAACATGATTGTAATCTATGCAATACTTAGACAAATCTATACCAGAAATCTTTTTTACTGTGGCAAAGCAAGCCTTTAGGTTCCTTCTCTAATTAAAGAGTAGTTGTAAATCACCCTTGGTGCTATGCAAGTAGTTCTGTCCTTACATGGAGAAAACAATTTTATCAGTGTGGGAAGATTAATGTTGAATAAAAGGAAGTTAACCCAAGTGCAAGTAAAAGTTTCCAATATATCCTCTGAAAGTTGTTCCATTCCAGGAAACTTCTGTGCTCAAATGTCTTTATATTCTCAATGAACCATGGTGGCATAGTGGTTACAATGCAAGCTAATTCTGCTGATTGCCAATTGCCAGCAGTTTGGTAATTCGATTTTCACTGGTTCAGGGTTGTCTCAGCCTTCCATCCTTCTGAAGTCTGTGAACATGAGGATGCAGATTGTTGGGGCAATATGCTGACTCTAAACCACTTAGGGCTGTAAAACACTGTGAAGCAATATATAAGTCTAAGTACTATTGCGATTATCTCATATTTCATAACAATGCCTATAAATTACAAATACTTATTCAGTAGCAATTGACATCAAAATACTTAGCCCACTGGTCTCCTGTATTAATTAAATCAGATTTTAATTTGAAAATACTTGTCTCTTTTTCTGAGTTCTCATTAGCTTCAGTGTACTACATTATAATATCTCTGGCAGGATATATCTGATTTGAAATAATGCTAAGGCTGGTACTCAGCATTATAGGTGTCAGCCTTGGAAGCCATATTAGGCCGGAAGCTTCAATGCTGCCACCTCATGTGTGGGAAGGTAGGAGGAGGTATTTAGGAGAGGGGTTTAGTAGACCTAATAGCATTCTTCCTGTTGGTCAAGGTCAGGGCGATCCAGCATCTGGAGGAGGAGTGGTCGGGGATGGGTCGAGATGGAACGGACTTTGATTGGAGCATGTGATCGACTGGGGAGAAAGGGAATGGTTTTGGGAGCTTTGACTTACTGAAGGAAAACCTGGGCTTTTCAGATTCGGGATTTCCCAGATATGCCAGTTTACCTCTTCTAATGAGAACTTTGGAAAATGCCTGCTTCCGCATCTTTACTTGGAGTTGGGGGTTTTCTGGAACGCTGACAATAGGTTTAGAACAGGGCTGTTCAACCCGTGGGCCAGATGCGTCACACACTGGCCATGCCCATGCCCGGTTTAGCAAAGGGAAAAAAGTTGTGATATGTCATGTGACAATACCGTGATGATGCAAGTTTAACACCCCTGGTTTAGAAGATTGCTTTTAAATATGTTGCATGAAGGAAGAAATTTGAAACTCGGTAGGGTGGTAAAAATAATCAAGATGCGTATTTTGTTCTTTTTCTACTTTTGAATTAAACTGGATGAGGAAGTCACAGATTGATATTCTAGCTGAATCCTTCAGTTGTTTCAGTTGTGTTTTGGGTATTTCTATACCGTATTGAAAATATATGCCAATTACTCCAAAGCATCTCCTTCAGGAAGAAAATTGATAGGTTTATTTGTTCATAGCAGTATATTAAAATGAGAGAACCATGGACAGGTGTTGCTTGCCTAAAATAAACAAACATATTCCAAAAAGAACATGAACTGTTAATAACTACTTGAACTGGGCAGTGATCTGGATTCAAAAAGAAATATGTGATTTTGGAGTATAACATCTTGCACTTGTTTCCATAACCTTAAAACTATATTTTCCTGGCTGCATGTCCTCCTTCTCCAATCTCGGGAAAAGGCTCCCTTTCTAAACAGTTGCCAGAAATGTTAAATGAAATATGAGAAACAAATGGGTTACTACATTTTTTTTCCGGATATCACTATTTCAAACCCAAGTTCATCATCACTAAAAAAACTTATAAGAATATTAAACCACCAAAAGTTATTATGCCATTTTTTCTCACCCAGTTACAATCATTGCAACATACCTGGTACCTTTCTATTCATAAATGTGTAGCTTTGACTTAGAGCAGAAATATTGTCCATTATGTTGCCTTTATGGGCAGGCAAACCATCAACTTCAGGGATTGATAGACTACAGGCATTCCCCACCTTTTCTTTTGAGTGGCCCCCAAGTCATTGCCTAGAGAAACAAAATAATAGAAAAACAGAGTTGGAAGGGACCTTGGAGGTGGTCTAGTCCAACTCCATGCTCAAGCAGAAAACCCTGTACCATTTCAGACAAATGATTATCCAATAGCTTCTTAAAAATCTCCACCCACAACTGGAGACAACTCATTCCACTGCTTAATTGTTCTGTCAAGAAATTTTTCCTTCATTCTAAGTTGGTTCTTTCCTTGATTAGTTTCCATCCATTGCTTTTTGTCCTTCCTTCAGGTGCTCTGGAGTATACATTGATCCTCAAATATTGGAACACTGCTACCATATCGCCTCTAGTCCTTCTTTTCATTAAACTTGACATACCCAATTCCTCAAACTCTTCTTCATTGACTTGTCAATTTTCTAAAGTCTCTCTTAATTTTGCTACGTCCTCAAGCCTCAAATGAGTACTGTGACTTCTAATAACATCAACTCTACACTTTATTCAGATCTCAAATACTTTTAAAAGACATCTTCTGAATATAAAGTTTGCATATCTGCTCTGTCAATTGCGTTTGTGATACTTTTATACAGGAAAATAGAGGAGTACTATGATTCTGTTGCCCAAAATATTTCTATCTCATCAGAAAAAGTGATGCATTTCAGATACATTTTCTAAATAAAAAGTATATGTTGTATCACACACATCATAGCCATTCTGATGTGTGGTGTATGATATGAACTTGTCTTGAATGGTGAGATAAGTGGTATATAAATTTAATAGTAATAAGGCATACATGGACAATGCCAATGGTGGTTCAGGTGTAAATCTGAGGAATGTTTATGTTGGTATAAATGAACAATCAAGGAGTATTAGGTTCATGTATTCCTCCTTCCCCTATATGTAAGCATTTACTGTTTGAGATGGCCCACAATCAGCAATTTTCACTGAAACAGCATAAGAAGGAAGGCAGTGTGATAGACGAAGGAATATGTGATTCTATACAATATATCAAGAATCAGAGTTTCTCATATAAGACTACTAGACTGTGTTGTCATGAACAATGGCACTTTTAGAAGAGAGACACCTTGCCTTCCTTCCTTTGCCTCAGTCATAATCAGTAAAACATTCTGCTTCCAAATCATTTTACCCTTTGCTACCAATAATGTAAAAGAATATACCTTCCATATTGCATTTCCAAAATGGAAGATATGTTATTTATTCTTGGCAGCGAGGCATGGGAGTTGAATGTTTAATTCTATTAACTTAAAAATACCATAGTGATAAAAAAATAATATTACAAAAGGAAAAGTGCAATTTTTATCATTGTATCCTAGCTGCATCGTATTATGCAGGTAGAGTAGTATAGCAGGTTTGAGCTTGAATGCCTTCTTCCCCGAAAGTTAACTCTTAAATAAGAGCTATAAATAAGAGCTAGGAAAACATTTCCGCTCTCTCCTTATTAGAACCATGGGAGTAACATTATGGAGCACCACAGGCCTACAACATGACTGCAACTATTCAGATGTAGCCATCAAAGCAATAATCCAATTATATTGCCTAGTATGCTACCTACATTACTGCACCTAATTCTTGCTAAATGCAGAGGATGGACTGAGTCTAAGGGTGTACAGTTTTTGCCAGCAGATATTTCCATAGAAGCTTCTAAAAAAAACCCCATAGGTTTTCTACATTGGAATTTAATAAAAAGGTCAATGGTGATAACCTGATCAGTTTGGATTGGTCAGCCACTATTTAAGGGGGATTAAAATGGTATTTTTCTAATGTCAGTTATTTCCTCATTGCTTATTTTGTTATTTTATTGTTTCAGCTTATGCATGTATATGTTTTTTTTACTTATTTAACCCGTTCTGTATGCATTTTTTAAAAAAAATAGTTTCTGATCATGAATAAGTTTATTTCCACAATATGTTTGGGATCTGTAATTCTCTTCCATGAAACATTATAAATTGAGAGCGATTAACCCAAAACCACGCAATAAGCTTCCTCTTTAATGAAGTTTCATTAATTGACCTGTTCTAAGAATTCTTGCCCTATGCAGCTTGTTAAGCTCACTGGACAACCTAGTGCTGCATAATGAGAACAATTAACCTGTGGAGCAGCTTGCTTCCAGAACCTGTGGGTGCTCCATCACTGGAGGTTTTTAAGAAGAGATTAGACGGCTATTTGTCCAGAATGGTATAGGGTTTCCTGCTTACGCAGAGGGATTGAACTAGAAGACCTCCAAGATCCCTTTCAATTCTATGTTCTGTATAACCTCATTTAACCTCATATTAACAGCAATTTTTGTCCTATGACCTGTCTTTGGGACTGGAAAGTTGCCCATGGTTATGATGGGCAATTTCTGAGATCTATGTGGTCATGCATGGTTCCCCCCATCATGTGACCAAACAAGATCTGATAACTTTGCAGCTGGTGCAGTTTTTCCCCCTCCTCCTTGCTGCTTCTTTAATTGCTGTTGTCTTGAGGACTGGAGTATTATGATTGCTTTTCTTTATAGTACTGTTTATAAGTACAGGAAGTCCTCAAGTCCTCAACTTGTAAGTACAGGAAGTCCTCAACTTATGAGCACAATTGAGCCCCAAATTTCCATGGCTAAACAAATTTTCATTGTTAAGCAAATAACTATAGTTAAGTGAATTGTTATCATTAAACAAATCTGGCTTCCTCCATTGACTTTGCTTGTCAGATGCTCCCTAGCAAGGTTGCAAATGACAATCCCAGGGCACAGGGATGCTGCGACCATTGTAAAAACATGCTGGTTGCCAAACACCCAGTTTGATCATGTGACTGTGGAGATGCTGCAACAGTCAGAAGTGTGAGAACTGGTCATATAAGCCACTTTTTTTCAGTGCCATCGTAACGTTGAGCAATCATTAAACAAATGTAAATGGAAGACTACCTGTACTTTACAACGATAAATGTATTTTTTTTTCATTACTGTTTGTTTGCATCTGCCTTGCAATTGCTTTCAGAAATACTAGCCAGCATCTACAGAAGAACATTCAGCACTGTAAAGTTCCTTTGCATTCTACTATATACTGTATTTGTTTGCATGTGTTTTATATTTATTCATCTCTTCTTAGCATTTACCAATAACCTGCTTCACAGGATCATTAAAAGAATCAGCAATGCCTTTACGATCAATCAATCAGAATAGAGCTGGAAGGGACCTTGGAGGTCTTCTAGTCCAACCCCCTGCTCATGCAGGAGACCCTATACCATTTCAAACAGGTGGCTGTCCAGTCTCTTCTTAAAAACCTCCAGTGATGGAAGCACCACAACTTCTGAAGGCAAAGCTGTTCCACTGGTTAATTGTCCTCACCGTTAGGAAGTTTTTCCTTAATTCCAGATTGCTTCTCTCCTTGATTGGTTTCCATCCACTGTTTCTTGTCTTACCTTCTGGTGCTTTGGAAAATAATTACTGTTAATACATCATTATTAGCAGTATTTTCCTCACGTTTTCTCTTCTCCCAATTTAAAAATCAAAAGCACTGGGCTGGAAAAAAAAAATCAGTGGCTTAATTTTTTTTTTATAAAAAGGGTGTGTGTGTCATAATGGTGCTACTCTCCCGTTCCCGGGGTTTTGGGGAGGCGGGATTGTCGTTTTGCTTGCAAGGCTTATCTCCCCGCCCAGAGAAAGACACATGCATGTTGCGGGGGAGGAGGAGGAAGAGGAACTGGATACTGAGCCCGGGGCTGCTGGAATGGGCTCCGGGGGAGACCCGGTGGGATTTCCTCCCAAGACTTTCTCTCCTTACCCCGTCCAAGAACAACGCCGCTCGCGCAGCCTCTCGCTATTGTCCATCAAGGATTTGCAGGCACGCGCGCGCCTTCTCTTTCGCCTCGGCGGGGCGCTAACATGGCTGCGCTCTGCGGCGGATTGACAGCCCCTTCCGCTCCGCTGCAGACCTCCGGTTGGCCGTGAGGAGAAGCGCGAAGAAGCTCGGCGTCTGGCCTCCCGTGTGGCTGCTGTTGGTACTGCGCTGCCGGCGGCGCCGCACCCTGCCTCGGTTTACCGCCTCTCCACCCCGCCTCGTTTGGGAGCTGATCGCAAGCGGGGGGCGAAAAGTTGACTCCGCCCGCGCAGGTAAGCAAGCAATAAGACGGGGAGTGGGGGGGGGGGCGGCGGAAGAGAGCCGACCCTCTCCCTCTCCCCCTCGGCACTAAATGGGTTGGGTAGCTGTGGCTATAGAAGGGGGGTGGGGAGGGCGTGTTGCTTTGGGAAAGGGAAAGGCCGGGAGCAGCGTCAGATTCAGCCTTAGCCGGGGTATAAGTCCTTTCGAGGCCGCGAGTCAAGCGGTGCCCTAAATAAACCATCCTGTCCCTGCAGCAGAGACGGCGAGAAAAACCATTTAATTCGCCAGTCAGTGCAGCGGGGATGGTCAAGGGCTTCTTCCAGAGGCCCGTGTTCCCCCCCCCTCTCTCCCCGCCACCCCCGTTCCCGGGCTGCCAGCCTTGGCCTTGGAAGAAAAATAACCGAGGGGTCCTTGGTGCTCTCTGGGCTTGCTTGTTTTCTTGGAGACGTTTCATTACCCTTAACTAGGTAACATCATCAGTGCTAGTAAGGAGTGCTGTTTGCTGTCAGTTTATATTCTGACAGTTTATATTCTGGTGTCTTGCCTTGTCTGTGAGAGAGATGTAGGGGTCTCCTGCTTGGGCAGGGGGTTGCACTAGATGACCTGCAAGGTCCCTTCCAACTCTGTTAATCTGTTAAAGTGTGTGTGTATGTGTGTGTGTGTGGGGGGTGTTTTAGAGATCCGTTGGTTGGGCTGTTTACTGATGAAACATCTGCAAGAAAACAAGTAAATTCAGAGAGTGCCAAGGACCTCTCATTTCAACCCTGAGCTATAAATATTCTCCTTTATTGAAGAAAAATAACTGTGAGTTGGAGTAAATCCCGCTCCCTGAGTCTTAACTGGAGAAGATGGGGTGGGGTGGGGGGAGTTTTATCCAGCTGCAAGGTACAGTTATGCCTGGGAGGAGTAGGAACCTGGCCTTCCTGTTTAGAAATGCTAAAGAAAGGGTAGGGCGCATATCACTTGGATTTATTTTATGAACAAATGTGAAATACAGTTCCTATACAGACTTAGTTGAATTCGGTAGGGCCTTTTCCCAGATACTCAATTGAGGTCCTACTCCTTTAGGTGCTGCTGGATTAATGTTTAGGGTATGCAGTGGAAGTTTTCCTTTCCTGCTCCTTTTCTACAGCTGCCCACTATTTGGGCTGACTCAATACTCTGGAACAAAGGAGGAGGAATTTTACCTGGAATAGGTTGAGGTTGGGCATCCTTGGATACAAAAATGAAAAGATTTCAAATGTTGCTTCTTTATCTCCAGTTCTTGTGTAACTTAGTTCCTGGGCTTGTGAAAGAACAAATGAGAAACAGGGTTGATAATGGAGTTCCTTAAAAAAAAAAACCCAAGATTTTACACTCATGTACAGATTCTACACAAAAAAACCAAATAACAGCAAACACAATAAATGAATTTTTACCTATTTATTTACCCATTGCCAGTAAAGTTTCCTATATTAACCAAGATTTCACCCTCAAATAAACCCAGATTTCACACAAATGGTAACAAAAAATACAGTTTAAACTAAGTTATTTTTACCTATTTAATACATACAATATAATGTAATGTAATGTATAGAAGAACTTAGATTTCGTTAAATATTAAAATAAAAAGCTATAAACCCAGATAGAGAATCAGCATTGGCAACCCTGGGGAAAAATATTTTCATAGTTTTTGTGTGACTCTGTCACTGAGAAAGGTTCTGAAGACAGATGTACAGTATATACATTGTAGTGACTTAGATTAAGGATTAGTGTGTGCAGGGAAGAATGTTGGAGGAAAGGAGGGAAACACTAAAATTTATTGAAAGTTTAATTTTTTTTAAAAAAAAAGTAAATTCTCTATGGCAGCTATAAACCCTACCCCTTTTTACACATATTATATGTGCTGTCATGTAAAGAGGTGGGGTTAAATCATGTAATTATGGTTGACATAATTATTTTTTGACCTTTCCATGAGGTTAAATCTGATTTTTTTAAAAATTGATCGTGTTTGGTGTGTTGATTATTGTAATTGCATTTATAAATATTCTTTCAGATCTATTTAGCAACAAACAATCTCAAGAATTAGACTTCTTTTGGATAGGAGTGTTAAGATAAATTTTATGGGAAAATTGTTTTATAATTAGGTAAGATGATTTTGAATCTGTTTCTTGCATATTTTGCTTGTAAATAAAAGGTTGACTCAGCCTTCCATCCTTTTGAGGTAGGTAAAATGAGGACCCGGATTGTGGGGGCAATAAGCTGATGTTGTATAAAAAAGAACACCGCTTGGGGGGGCCGAAAGCCCTACTAAGCAGGTATATACAAAAGTATGGAGGCTATTGCTTAACGCATTGTAAGCCGCCCTGAGTCTCCGGAGAAGGGCGGCATATAAATCGAACCAATAAATAAATAAATAAATAAAATCCCCCATATTAGATTTGCATAATCAGTTTTGATAACAGTGTTGGATGGGACCTTGGAGGTTTCTAGTCCATCCCCCTGCTCAAGCAGGAAACCTTATCCCATCTCAGACAAATGGTTATCCAATCTCTTCTTAAAAAGTGATGGAACACCCACAACTTCTGAAGGCAAGCCATTCCACTGATTAATTGTTCTAACTGTCAGGAAATTTCTCCTTAGTTCTAGGTCAGTTCTCTCCTTAGTTTCCAATCATTGCTCCTTGTTTATTTTAATAATTCATTTTGGTAATCCGTTTTGGTGGTATGATTAGGGGAAAAAGGCAGTCATTGAAAGAAAATGGCTTCTGTCTTAAATTCCTACAAATCATTATAGTACGTCTAGCATTGTCTATTTGTGAGAAATGGTTTGTTATTAATACTTTCACCTTCAACCTTTGCTTGTCTTTTTAAAAAAATATAATTTCGGTATGTCTGTCTTACAGAAGTCTTGATCCTGTTTGGTTTTACTGGCTTGAAATTATCATCTTGTTTTCGTGATTTTTTTCCTATACCTATACATATTCATAACTTATTATAAGGACATTAAAGTGAAAAGTAAGTGGCAAACAGAGATCTGGAGTGATATAGAAAATTGATTTCAGTAATTTGACTTTTATTCAGATGCTGATTGTAGAAATAAAGGCCTTTTTCAATTAAATTTTATTTTATTAATAATAAGCTTTATCAGTTTTAATATTTTGTTCATGATACAGTTGACCACTATCTGTGTAAGATTCTATGAAGTATAATTCACATTATTTATGTCTGCTTGCTACAAGAACGTTTTTCCTGGATTATAAAAGACTTTCCTTCAACAAGACTAATTTATCTTTGAAACAATGAACTAAAATAGGAAAAAATTTTTAGAGCTAGATTATTTTTAACCTCCAGTTTTTAAAACACTGCACCATACTGCATCTTAGTATTTGTATTTCAGTATATATGTGTAGTTTGTTAAAAATCTAACCTTATCTTACAAGAGTTTTTTTCCTGTTGCCTGTTTAGAATAAGGGACTTCCTTGTTGTAAAAATATAAGCTTCTCAGAAGAAAATTAGAACTGAACTTGTGCCTCAAAACATGGGTTCAGATTTCATTTTGAGATGGAACAACAGACCATAATTATTAATATTAATGATACTGTTGACACTCAGAGTTAAGGTTTGGAAAGCTACATATTCTGTGCTGATAAACACTGAATGTGTAATAAGTTGGCTGTGGCAAAATGACTGTGGCGAGTTGGCTATGGCCAATTCTAGACCAGTCTTGATTCTGAAAATAGTTCTGTACCCCTGTTATGGTTAGGATGTTTAGGGGACTACATTTTGCTACTTGCTCCTTTTCAAGTGCTGCATTGTGCCAGGATCTGCAGTGAATTAGCATGATTGTTTTGATTATTCTGTCTTTAGTTATAGCTTTAGGGGATACTAATATTGTAAACAAAACAAATGTGCTAATAGGTATTCAGAGAAGGAATTACCTTGAAACATCAGTATTTTGAGGATAGGAAGTAAAGTGCCATTTTCCAATATCTATTTGACAATAGTTATGCGCAAAAATTTAAATATACTTTTGATGTCATAACAGATAACTTTTAAGCTTAAAATGTTCACAACTCCATGTGCAAATACAAATGTAGATCAGTTCAGTCATCATTATAGAATAGAAAAGATTGATAGGCTATCCTTCCTTTGCCAGTCACTTTTGAATAGAAAATAATAAAAAAATAAACAGTAACTATAAACAAGAAATCCAACAGATTGGTGAAAATTTTATTTATTTACTACTAAATTTATACGACTGCCCATCTCACATACGTGACTCAGGGCGCCTGCAATAAAACGAGTAAACAATGTATAGAAAAATATAGTATTTTGTTGGCTTGCTTGGTGCTCACCATCCATAAAAACAACTTCTGTGCTTTTTTCTGGTGGCAGAGATATAGATCTGCTTGTATGTTGCTGATCAGTATGTCTCTATGTTATGTGTGCAGCCATGCCAGATATTCTTTTGGAATCAAAGCACAACAGGTTGGTCATATGACCATCCGTTTTTCCTTAGCATCTTATCTGTTGGTTTGCAATTTATACACAAAGCAGGGTGCTGCTGTCCCCCTAGCCAGCATGGAAATGCAGCAATGGATAAGTTTTGTTGCATTCTGTGCTGGGTGCAGAAAGGTGGCAAAAACACTGTCCTTCACACACTGCTCGGAAATTGGTGTCTTGCGGAAAGGATTTTGTCTTTCCATTAGCAGTCAGTGCACTCAGAGAGGTTGTAATTATTTATGTTTTGGACAACTAGATGAATATTTAATTAAAAGTCTGAGACAAGGTCTAGGCAGGAATTCCTCTTGCAGGGATGAGAGATGCTATTGCGTAATATATTGTTCTCTAGTTTAATTGGAATCAGTTTGGTCCATAGCCAATAACATATTGCCATTTGGCTTTAAAGTTAATTCTGTGTTTTGTTTGATCTTCAGAACATTTACTTCATAGAATATTACTTCAGTATGGCATAAATTCATTGAGTGATGAATGTTGCCTATTTTATCACTTGGTGTCTTGGGTACTACGTATATCTCAAAATAAGGTGGTATCGGATTTAAGGTTCCCTATTCCAAAACAAAAAATAGAAAAAAAAACTGTAAACAAACACAGAGATCTTGTGCAATGCTCTTTTTTCCCACTAGGTCTATCTATGGTTGTTAGTTTCATCTGAAAGCAATCCTAGGATTTCGTTGTTCACCAACAAAACACTTCATCCAACTTGTGTGTGAGTGTGTTTATTAAATGGGTACACTCCATACATGTAATTCTTAATCTGCAGAATCAAATGTATCACGCTGATTTTTTTTAAAGAAATTGAATTATGATTATTATAACTGCTAGAGTGTTATTTTAATATGCTACTTTTCTCACCTTTAAAAATTAGATTACATCAGTAGTGGTAGATGCAAATTTGTATTGATTAACGGTTTAGTATAGAATTTGGCAGCAGTGGTAAAATTATATGGATAAGTCTAATTCCATCTTTCTCAACTGCCAAAATTGAGGATGTCTCAGGATCCAAACATACCAAATGTAACTGAGGGAAAATCAGATGTGCCACAGGATAATCAACAGGACCATGTGGACAATGCAGAGCAGTGTGTCCGAAAGAAGATTCGACAGAACACACCAAGTCCTAGTAGAAGCAACATATCTGAGGGTAAGCAAAATTATTCCAATATAATACTTTTTATCACAAGCAAAATAATTGTTTCGCAGGTTTCCTTCTGCTCTGTATATCTGCGTAGCCTTTTTCTGATAAATGGAACATCTCCCACACCTCAAAAAATCTCAGAAACTATTCACTATGAATGTGTTTTCTAAGAAAATTACTTGGACCTGCATAGGGAGTGGAGCAATGGTGGGACCTTTTCTTTACCTAATTTCTCTATGGAAAAATCCTTTCATTATCCAGATTAAATGCCTTGCCATTTATGTTCCTGGAGGGAAGATTCAACAGTATGCCACCACAAGGTCCCTTGGGCCCTTGCTCAAACAGGTTGATCAAGATACTCTTGGACATTCTGTTGCACTGCCCGTTTAATCGGCCACAGTGCTCTGAATTAATTCTGCTCTTACTAATTTCTTGCTTCGTTTGGTTAGAATTATGCCTGCAGAAATGTATAGGGCTTACTATAATTGTTTGATTATAATTGTTATATGACAGCTTTGAAATTAATTTTGGCAGCATTCTACTGGCAGATTTATCTTTGCTTTGATGGTTGATAATATTATTAATTTCCTGGGGAAGGTGTTTCCTTTTGTTTGTTTTTTTCTGACTATATTATGTTTGATATTTTGGTCTTGATCACAAATTAACTAAACTAAACACATATTTAATATGTATTATGTATACATTAAAACTTTTGCTATGATACTGTATCATGTCCGAATAAATGTTTTTAAAAAACTAACTAGCAAGCTAATGTCTGGCTAACATAAAACTGCCCAATCTTCAGTCTTCCAATTTGGGAGATTTTCTGAATTAAGATCTAAATGCTGATTCTATTTTGCATTCGCATTTCTGTTTCATCCTGCACAGATGGCTCTTTGTTTATCCTTAATCTCTATTTGCCACTAACTCTTATTCAAAGCATGGATATGGTAATGAAAATAATAATGATAATACATTGATAAAAATGCCAAATTAAATCCAAACGTCGGGCTGACTGTGCAACCAACCATAATAATATAATTTATTTACCCAGCATTTCAATTTCCTTTCCTTTGGGGGGACCTTCATTTTTTTGTGACCATGTTTTTTCAGAAAAGAGATGAAAAATGGTACGTACATATACTTACACCCAGGTATCTTTAGTGAAAACCACTCATCAGTAACCCAGATTTTTTTTTCATTTCAAAGGTTGTGAAGTTAATCTTCTATGGATTGAGTATGAAAAATTTGAATTAGATTCTGTTAGAACCAGGGGTGAAATGCTCCCGGTTCAGACCGGATCGCCCGATCTGGTAGCGATGGAGGCGGATGGTTCGGAGAACCTGTAGCAAAAATCCCTGCCCCCCCCCATGTCCAGCTGAGCCGCACAATCATCAGAGGCTTTTTTTACTTTTAAAAGCATTTTTTCTACAACCTCTTCAGCCAAAAAATGTTTTTAAAAGTAAAAAAAAAAAGCCTCTGATGATTGCGCCGCTCAGCTGGGATCGTCAAAGGCTTTTAAAAGAAAAAAAGGGTTTTTTTTCCTTTTAAATGCCTCTGACGATCCAAGCTGAGTTGCCTGATCAGCAGAGGTTTTTTAAAAAAGCCTCTGCTGATCAGACAACTCAGCTGGGATTGTCAGAGCCTTTTGAAAGCATTTTTTACAACCTCTTCACCAAAGAGGTTATAGAAAAAATGGTTTTAAAAGTAAAAAAAAAAAAAAATGGCCTTGCCCCCCCCGTCCCATTTCCCCCCCCCCCCCCAAGCCATGCCACAGAACCGTTAGTAACAAATTTTAGATTTCACCCCTGGTTGTCATGCACAATGGCACTTTTAGAAGAGAGATACCTTGCTTTCCTTCCTTTGCCTCAATCAACAGAACTATATCAACATCAAAATTAAAGGCTTCTTGGTATTAATAGCAATAGCACTTAGACTTATATACTGCACCAGAGTGCTTTACAGCACTCTGTGAGTGGTTTACAATGTCAGAATATTCTCTCCAACAATCTGGGTCCTCATTTTACTGACCTCAGAAGGATGGAAGCCTAACTCAACCTTGAGCCGGTCAAGATCAAACTCCTAGCAGTGGACAGAGTCAGCCTGCAATATTGCATTCCAGCCACTGTACCACCACAGCTCTTTATAAAGACTTCCTTATACTTAGCATGCTGTACTTGGATTGTATTTTCCTTCTAATATCCAAAATATTGGTACAACATGATCAGTTCTTAGGAATTTTAACACAAAAAACATTTCAGACTATACTTAAATTGCTGGATTCAGCTGCATTAATGTCTATAATTTATTTGTTAGTTTTGTAACCTACCATTAGTCCTTGTACTGGGTGACTTTAGGCCAGTCATTCTCTCTCTGCCCAATTTACCTCACAGAATTATTGTTGTAAGGAAAATAGGAGGAGGAAGGTGCGTTAGACATGTTTGCTGCTTTGAGTTAACTTGTAAAAATTATAAAGGTGGGATATAAATAAATACGAAGTAAATATTGATAAAGCAGTGATTGGGTGATTGCTCATTGAGCACATCTTTTCTCCATATATGGCTTCATCCTCATCATTTCACTTCCTGTAAAAATCTAAAATTTAAGGAATTGCATTGAGAGAAGTTCACAAGAGGCTTAGAACAAGACAGATTGTTATCTGGTAAATTGAGAATTGGTTTGGGATGAAAATAGACATGAGAAAATAGGAAAATAAAGAAATGAGAATGAAAATAAAATGACTATAAGAACAGAAAGTATTAGTCCTGTATCAAAAAATAGATAAATCTCCCAGCAGAATGAATGATGAGTAAAAAAAAAGAAAGGATGATATTCAAGCTGCTTACAACAGCATGAAAATAATTATTTTGACAGAGTGCCATAGAAAGATGGGGAATTTGGCAGATAGGCGCACAAGCAGACAGACAACCAGCTAGTTAATAAGAAGTAGCTAAATAATAAGAGAATTGTATTAAAAATGAGGTTGGGAAAAAACATTTCTGAATGTATATTTGTGTGCTATGCACAATATTTGTGCATTATGGTTACGCACACACACAAAAATAGTTCCAAAAAGTATTCAGAAGAAACAACAAATAAAAGAAGCTAAGAAAATGTGAAGTGATTTGGATATGAATAAGAAACTTGTTTTAGAAGTAGGTGAAAAAGGCTAAAGATGGAGCCTTCAGTACATTAAGAATAAAAGTCCTGATCCTGAGTCCTTTGGGAAAAGGGCGGTATAAAAATTAAATAAATAAATAATAAATAAAAGTGATAAAATAATTTGAGTTGAATGCAAAGTGAAAAAAATTAGAAATTTGAATGGGAATGATAGCAATATGTCAGACTGAAATTGAAAGGAACTATAAAAGTGTCCAAGCAGAGAAAGTTATGAAAAATAATTTAAGTACTGTGAGAATGCTGAAAAATGGTAAGGGTGCTGGTATAGCTGCTTTAACTGGTAAAATGTTGAACTTTGGATGTGCTTTGTTTATGAATGGCAATGTAGTTTCTTTACATATGTGAAGGTTGTATCTGTGCATGAAGATTGGAAGAATGCCTATATTGTTTTCTCATACAAAAGATTAACGTAAACCTTAGTAATCTAAGTATGTTTAGGAAGGTTCTTGTCAAAATTCCGATTGAGCAAATGTGCAAAATTTGAGAAGCGTCAAGTGGCTTTATGCCTGGCAACAATGTGAAGTCTAGATCTGAAATAATTTGATCATATATAAAGAGTGAATGAGGATCCAATTGCACAACAAATACATGAGGAAAGAGTGAGTGGGGTGAGACAAAAAAGAAGACCAAAAACATGTTTGTATGTGGAGTTTATAATACCCTTTAAAACTAGAGTAGTGAGAAATTTAAAGAACAAAAGATTGTGAATTACTATGTAGACATGATTAAAAACTAGGATGATTTGTAAAAGCAGAAATGTGTTGACAGGTATGAATGATGTTGGCATAAACAAGATTGGGATAAATTAACTATATCAGTTAAGAAAAAAATTACATAGCATTTCTTAGTTTTCTTCTCCACGTTGCATAAGGATTCTTTATTTTGAAAGGGAATACACATAATGGGTACATATATATAATACATGATTATATTACAGCTTCAGGTGCTGTATATGCTTGATTGAAATGATCAGATTGTATGTTCAACTAGTAGGATATACTTTGCTGAAGCGTATTTATTTGGTCCACAGCTAGCCCTGCTCAGTTTGTGTCAGTGGAGGAACTGATGGATACAGCAAAAGGTGTTACAAACATGGCCTTGGCCCATGAGATTGTTATCAATGGAGGTTTTCAGATTAAGCCGACTGACTTGCCAGAAAACAGGTAAGAGGCCTGTTATGGGTTGAAAAAATTATAGAGGTGGGCTATAGTTCATAATCTTAAAGGAAATATATTTTCTTTTATGGAAGAATACCCATAGGGATTTTAAGACAGAAAGAAAATATATTAGGACATAATCATTTTTTTAAATACAACTGCAAAAATACAATACTTGTGAAGTACACACTGTATTTCATTAGCACACAGTAAACGAACAACACAAGTATTTCATCAGTTATTAAAACACAGTTGGAATTAGGCAAGTCTTGCCAAAGTGTTGATTGCTTTGCAGAAGGAAGAATAGTTGTCATGGATGATTTAATGTAGAATAATAAAAATCCTTAAAATCATGTGTAGAAAATTAGCACCTATCCCTCCTAAAAGAATGAAATATTTTAGGAAATATTAAAAAGGAAGGATAAAATATTTCCCCTAAAAAAGAAATAAAAATCTTAAAGGAAACAGAAACCCAGAAACCCAGCTCTCTGCCTCCAGTAAATATTTTGGTACACATTGGGAAGGATTGGGCCATCCTATCTACAAGACCCCCAGCTCCAGAGTGATGGGATTAAGACATGACCCTCCAGGACATTATAGGATTATCTAGCAGCAGGGCTCACTGCCCCAATCACTTGGGGACATTACATCAGCCCAAGGTTCAACCAAACTTGATTCAGACAATCATGACTCTACATTGGAGTCTGACAGCAACCAATAGAATACATGGTCTTGCCACAGGAATAGGAAGCTCAGGTTCAAAGCCCAAGAGAGGGTGTAAATACCTCTCACTCTCCACTCCATGTGGACTTCAAACCCATGTGGTCCTGTCCCTCAATAAACCTTCTTTCCAATCAGCCTCCATGTTTCCAGTGTCTTTCTCCCCACTTGGAACTGAACCAGATGGATATTTCTTCTAACACATGTTGGAAGTTGTGCCACTCTTTGTTTATAGGTGGTATCTTCCACAGTTCTGTCTCCCAAACCAGGCCAAGCATTCCATTATTTCTTTTCAATTGCATTTTATCGTTCTAGCAACTGCCAAGAATAGTGAAAAGGTCATATGCATTTTTAAAATGGAATTCCATATAGAGACAAGCATGGGATAAAAGCAAACAACTCTTATGTGAGCTCTTTTGTTACATAATACATGGAGCTTTCAAAACCTGGGTTAATTGAAGCTTTTCAGCTTCTCTGGTAGTCATTCCCTCTTATATATATATGAATGAGTAATAAAACCTGCTGAGTTTCTCTTACTGCCATCATAGTCACTGAGTTTAGCAAGAGATTATCTTGCCTTTTTCTTCTCCATTGTGATTCCTTCTTTAATACATAATCTTTGTGGGTTCGTTGGCAAGAGATTTACCCATGCATTTCTTATAATGTGTTTGTTAATTAACTGCACATCAGAGGTTGCTTTTCTTCTAAATCCCATATGCTGATTATTTTTATTAATGTTATGTTTTCGTTTATTTATCTTCATTTTGCTTACCAGTCTTGAAAAAAGAGTAAGAGATATTGTCCACAAAGCTTTTTGGGATTGCTTGGAAACACAGTTAAAAGAAAACCCCCCTTCATATGATCACGCAATTAAACTTGTAGGAGAAATTAAAGAGGTAAGATAGAAAGTATTTGTTGTCATTTGAATGTTTCTTGTCTATCTGCAAATCTAATTATTTAAAAATAACTGAAGTAGCAGCAGTCTATATACAGCTTTAGTTGTACACCTAGTGATCTCCAAAGTTTTTTGAATAGCTAATCAGCCAGGATGGGGGATAGCAGCGGCAGCAGGAGGTGGTCATAAATATGAAAAGTCCAAATTTTGTTCATGTGACTGTGGGGGCATTATGACAGACAGAACTTTGAGGATTGGTCATAAGTCCCTTCGTTCAGTGCCATTGTAACTTCAAATGAACATTAAGCAAGGACAATTTATATGTGTTATCTTCCAAATAATCCCATTTACATTGTTGCTAGTACTCTTAGAGTACTAAAGTATTCAAAAACAATGGAGTAATATACATGGAATACCCAATGAAGATGTAAAATTGGGCCTTTGTGTCCCATTTTGATATTCAGATGCAGTTTTTGGAACTCTGTGGAATATGGTATGCTGAGTTAGATGAACTTTGATTGGATCCATTAAAAAAAGTTTTTACTTTCTTAAAACCATGATCTATTTGTTTTCTTGTGCTTTGGAAACATGGATACAAATCCTTTATTTGTAATTTTGAAATAACTTTTTATTGCTTTGCTCTCTTCTCACTCCTTTAAGATCTGCCATATATTGCTCTAAAATGAATGTACTAGGACTTTTTATTTTCCAATTATCTGGTTTATGACCTGACACTACTGAGTCATTATGCTGGTCATTCTACGCTGCCACTTGACTGAACAAGATTTTTCAATTTGGTTGTATAATGGCTATAACCTTTTAGACACGCCTTTACCTACTAAATTGAAATTCTATCCATTGCTTCTTTGTAGCATGATATTGGGAGAGAAAAGTGTTGCAAAAAACATAAGGCATACAGAAACAGAATTGCTTAACTTTCATTTACTTTTTTTCCTATTTTTCTCAATTGAATTGTTCAAGAGGCTTTAAAAGAACAATGGAGCAAAAATCTATATTCAACTGCATGTCGAATGTAGTTGGAAAAATGTCCAAATTTCAATAAATAAAACTGAAACCTAAGATCATTTGCCATATATTTTTATATGACCACTTTTCATAGTAACATAATGTTGTTGTAGTGTTTTTTAATTTTTGAATGGTGATGACAGCAGTGTAATTAGTACTAGGATCTAATAAAAAGGACATTACTTTCTTTCAGGCTCTCTTGTCTTTTTTGCTGCCTGGCCATACTCGATTAAGAAATCAGATTACTGATGCTCTTGATCTGGAGCTGATAAAACAGGAGGCTGAGAATGGTGCCCTTGACATTTCTAAGCTGGCAGAATTCATCATTGGAATGATGGGGACACTCTGCGCTCCAGCGAGAGATGAAGAAATCCAGAAGTTGAAAGACATTCGTGAAATTGTTCCCCTGTTCAGGTGCTAGAGGGGGAAAAGAAAAAAAAGGAATAAGTCTTCAGTTCAAAATGGCTTAAACAGCTGCATCATTTTAATAGGCATTAAATGCTATATGGACTACTTGAATATTTTCTTCTTTGCTTTTTATTGGGGACGTTACGTTAAGAATTAAGAAATTTGGAATAATAAAGGAAGATTATTCTTTGGTTAAGGATAATTCTTGTAATGTTTTGCAGTGAGGTATATTTCCAGTTCTTTAAGGTGACAGTTCAACCCCTTTATAGCAGATCCTAACAAGGCACAGGAAGTCCTCAACTTATAACAGTTCATAGTGACCATTTGAAGTTACACTGGCACTGAAAAAAGTGACTTATGTCCGTTTTTCACATGACTGTTGCAGCATCTCAGTGGTCATGTGATCAAAATTCAGATGCTCGGTAACTGGTTCATATTTATGACAGTCGCAGTGCCCTGGTGTCATGTGATCCACCTTTTGCAATCTTCTGAGAAGCAAAGTCAATGGGAAAGCCAGATTCACTTTACAACCATGTTACTATCTTAACAACTGCAGTGATTCGCTAACAAATGTGTGAAGAACGGTTGTAAAATGGAGAAAATTCACTTAACAAATGTCCCATTTAGCAACAGAAATTTTCGGCTCAGTTGTTGTCGCAGGTTGCGGACTACCTGTAAAGATTCCCACAGTTTCGTTAATCAGGTTTAAGGTAAAGAAATGGGAGATTATCATGCAGAATTTTGCAAACGAAATAAAACCCATGCCTTCATTTATGAATGAATTCGTAATAGTGGGCTCTTTGTGAATTGTTTGAACCTCTTTTCCCCAGAATGTATACCCTAATGGCTAAGTGTCCTTTTCCAGATAAGCTCAGGAGTGCAATGTTCATCTCTCTTTGTGAGTAATGTTTTGAAATACGTCTCTTTCTTTCCCAGTCTCAGTGAGTTCTCTTATTTAAAGGCTCCTCTGACTATAAATGTGGATTCCTTCCAGAAAAAAACCCCCACTAGCTTGGGATTTTGCATCACATGCCATTTTTCTGTGTAGAAGGAATTGCCTCATGGGTAGCATTTCATCACCACAGATCCTCTTCCCTGGCATTCAGAAGTGGAATTGCTCTGAGGTGGGCATATGTTATCAGTAGGAACTGGGCTACAGTTATCAGAATAAGTATGGATAAAATCATGCTATTTGCCTTTCTTCGGAAATCAATTCAAATTGATTCAATGGAACTTCTTCCCCAGAGAATAGATATAAGATTGCAATTTAAAGATAATTTATAAAATAATGAAGCTTTCTCAATCTAGTATCTTTCAGATGTAATTCAAATCTCATACAGTAATTTCCAAATACAAAGGCTGAATGCGATATATCTCTGTATTATGGGAATTTCAGACCAGAATTTCTAGTGAGCCTTTGTAATAAGGATAATATGTAAAGCATTATTCCGATGTAACTACTATTGGAAAATTCTTCATTATTTCCATAAACTTTCCTTGAAAAAAGACTAATTCTTCCTTTCCTTTTGACTTAGTTAATTTTCTTGACTGTTCAAGGCTTGCTGTATTTTTTAAAAGTATGACTATATTTTGAAAAGCTTAATGTCTTTTTATTTTTTTGCAGAGCAATTTTCTCTGTGTTGGATTTGATGAAAATGGACATGGCTAATTTTGCTGTCAGTAGCATTAGGCCACATTTAATGCAGCAGTCAGTAGAATATGAAAGAAAGAAATTTCAGGAACTATATGAAAAACAGCCAAGTATGATTTTTCTTGCCTTCCTTTACTAAATGATACACTTACATTGTTAAAATGGAAATTATGAAGTAGATTCAGCATGAATATTCAGTTTCATTTTTTAACAATTTATTTAACTGTTCAGTAATCAAAAGAATATTAAATAAAAAACTCCATAAGATATGCCCCAAATCCCTGTTTCCCTCCCGATTCAAAATGATGCAAGTCAAAACAAATTAAAATCTACCACCAAATGCCTGCATAGTGCTGATCTTTATATATCATAGATCCAAATAAAAAAATTATACCAGATTTCTTGCACTTTGCTATGTAAATCTGGCAGCTATTCCCCAAAGTGGAATTTATCTCTTATGTTGGATGATTGTATGGTAAATGTCCTGGGAAAATGGACAATAATGGCATAATTATTCAAGTGTTTTAGTTACGATAATGAGTAACTAAATGTACATAAGAAATGATGGTACCTGCCAATTTTATGATAACTTCAGTATATGACCCCTTCCACTTGTGGACCTGATTTAAGCCCTTTGTGATTCCTATATGGGGCTAGGTGTGTGTGATAACCTGGATTTGAGAGATTATCAGTATTTTTTGGGATATGAGCTGTTGGAGAAGGTTCTGAAGCACATGCTGAGTATTTAGCTGCAGAAATCACTCTAGAAAGGCAATATAGGTTTATTTTAAATGGATAAATAAATTGGTGGAGTAATGACAATGAAAAAAATCTATCTCTCTTTAAAATAGATTCCTTAGATTTTGTGACTGAATGGCTGCAAGAGGCCATGGTTGATCTACAATCCAAAGTTGCCTGTGCTAGTAATAATGGTGCTGCCTCACCCAGTAGAGTCCCGGCACTGAGTCCTGTTGCTGTACAAAATCATGCATATATCCAACTACTCAAGTGGAACCATCTGCAGAAACCTTTTCCAGAAGTAACTATATCTGTAATTTCTGAAATCTAGATAACAACAACTGTGTGAAATCTTAGGACAGATTTTAAATCAGCCTTGTTCTTAACTCTCCTGTTAATGCAATGAAGAATTTAATCCAAGGAAAGAAAACATTATCCTAGATGTGAGTGGGTAATGATGGGGAAAGAGTATTTACCTCTAGAAAATCAATGTATTTCTTTATTGGGTGTACAGGAGAATCATGTCTGCCTTCCTGCTCTTAGGTTCTTAGAGGAGGCATAGAAAGCCCCATTTCTTTGGAGCGCCTCCATTTTATTTTTAGGGTAGCTATGGAGAGGTGGTGTGATGGCTCAGTGGTTACGATAAGGGGTGGTATTCACTTACCTTTGCTACCGGTTCGCAAATGGGAGCGTGCGCCACCTCTGTGCATGCGTAGGAACTTCTGCGCATGCGCAGAGCGTCAGAAATGGGATGTGAAGACATCCAGGAGGGTGGGCGGAGCCTCCCGCAGCTGCCGCTACCTGTTCATCTGAACTGGATATAACCGGTTGAATAGCACCACTGGTTAAGATGCTGAGTTGGAAAGATTCAAGACCCGAGTACCACGCGATGGGTTGAGCTCCTGTTTTTGTCCCAGTTCTGCCAACCTAGCAGTTCCAAAGCATACAAATGCAAGTAGATAAATAGGTATCACTTCAATGGGAAAGTAACTGCATTTTGTGATGTCATGCTGAACATGATCATGGAAACGTTTCAAAGTCATTGTGTCAAACGGAGATGAGCACCACCCCCTTGAGTCAGCTATGACTAGCAGAATAAAATCGTCAGGGACTCCCTTATGGAGAAGAGTACAAATACTCACAAGAGGTTGTCAAGGGAAGATACTCTCTTTTCTCACTTTTTATCTTCTCTGGATTTGCTTACATTTTTATTTTTGTATTTATTAAATTTATAGCCACCTATTTCACTATGAAATGATTCTGGACATACATTATTACAAATAAAAGTTTTTTCCCCTATAGTTACTTTATATAATCCAAACTTTATAGTACTTAAACTGTTTTTCCATTTAACTATTTTTTTCTTTTTTCTTTTCAAAGTAAGGAAGTTTGGAGAACTTTTTTTTCAAGGGAGAAATTATTTGACTTTATGTTAAATTTTAGTCTTTTATATTATGCTGGAATTATATATTTGTGAAAATGTGGATGTGCTTATGAGTTAGAGTGGAGATATGGAACAGGATAATTTGCTATTTAGAATATGTAGTAGAGCTTGCCTTTTGTAAAGGAAAAATGGTTTATCTTCATCATATTAAACTTGAAGTTTCTTTTTTAGTTTGCTTATATTAGGATATTTGAAAGCCTTTTAAATTGAATTGTGTTATACTTAAGAGTTGATATGTGGAATGTTGAGTTTTATATATGTTAATTAATATTAAAATGTTAGGGCTTTGTTTGGATCTTTTGCTGGTAACTGTATTGAAGAAGACATTACATATTTGACTTGACTATTGTTAAGAGATAGTTTATGGGATTAAGAGCAGTGGTGGGATGCTACCGGTTCACCCTGGATTGGGCGAGCCGGTAGTGGCGGTGGCGGGAGGCTCCGCCCACCCACCCAGACGTCTCTGCGCATGCGCAGAAGCATCACATGCGAAAGCAGATGCGCATGCCTACAAGCAAACTGGTAGCGGCCAAAATTGAAACCCACTACTGATTAAGAGTTTTATATTTGTTAGGTAAGAGGCAAAGAGGTTATACAGTAGAATTGTTTATACTTGCATTGAAGAAGGCGGGAAGTCAGATGGGAGTTCTTTTTAAGCTTCTTTTTCTTGCATTTTTTTCTGTTTCCTTCTAATTTGTATGTTTTATTGCTCTAAAATCTGCAATAAAATTATTTTTTTAAAAATGAAAAAATAAGGCGCCATATGTATCTAATAAATGAATTTTTCCTCATGGAAAATAATTATTAGTACTCGTTAGAGAGCAAACCTATGTGAAATGGCATATAGATAACATTGATACTGGATCCTTTATTTTCATAGAGAACTAATTGCCTTTTTATTATTGTTTTCTTGGAGTTTTGAGAAAGAGCCTATATACCTTCACAAAATTGAGGCAATTTAATAGCAATACCCTGTTTCCCCTAAAATAAGATATCTCCTGATAATAAGCCCCATCAGGCTTTTGAGAGCATGTGCTAAAATAAGCCCCCTCCCTGAAAATAAGCCCTCCCCGAAAATATTTAAGCGCATGTGCAGCCAGTCCCTGCCATTTCCTCTGGTTAGGGAGGCAGAGCTGGAAATCAGGTAAGACGGCAAGAGGAGCCCCGCTTGCTCCACGTGCCCCAAAATAATAAGACCTCCCTGGAAATAAGGCCAAGCACTTATTTCGTGGTTCAAAAAAATATGACATGGTCGTATTTTTGGGGAAACACGGAATCAGGAAGCTTACTGACTATTTGAGAAGCTGTTGTGTAATACCTGAGCAGTTCAAAGCAGCACTGACAAGGACCTCAACATTGGAACAAATGAGAAGAGAATTCAGTTTTGAGTTGTCCCAAAGGTACTTTTTTAAGAGGCAACTGGACTTCGTTTTTCCTTGAAGACATTTCGCTTGTCATCCAGGAAGCTTTTTCAGTTCAGCTCAGTTTTGAGCTATCACCAAAATGACACTTTGTTTTAGGCTTATGCATGTAACCAAATACAATGCTTACTGCATGAATCAGTTCTTAGAATATGGTTTAGATTATATAAGACAAAGGTTGTGGTCCCAAGCTACCTAGGATTTTAAAGTTAAACCCATAATTTATGAGTTGTATCAGTCACAGAAACTGCTGTAAATAAATTATGTTTGAGTGACCCACCAGTTCTGATTGATATATTTGGATACACATGGCATGTCTTGATTTATGAGAAATTTCTATCTATATTGGTTTCCTTCCCATACTGTAGTTTAAAAACCAGCTAATTAAAAACTGGAACATTCTATTCATTGGTATGAACTTTGCACAGAATGATTTAACTACAGCAGATTTACAACATCGAGATAGGTGGTGGAATCCAATACCTTTTATAGTATTATGAACCGGGCAGGGTTCAACTTTCTCATAATTTTTAATTGAAGAAACTCAGTGGGACGTTATAGAAAAGTGTATCTTGAATTGAGATACAATAGGAATTGATCAGAAGGAATTATACAACATTTGATCCATTGTGTAATTTTACATTAGCTTTTCTTCTTACTTTTTACTTTTTTACTTCTCTGAAAGCTTTGTATTTACTAAAGGTTTAGGTTTAATTTCAGCCAGTTATAAGTTGATTGAGGTTTTTGGAAAAGAATCCATACATGTATATTGTGGCTTAAGATCAAAAAGATTGAGAGGCTGGCACCTAGAATAGTTTGGAAGTTAACTATATTAAGAACTTTGAATAAGCCCACTTATGTTAGGCTGTGAGATTTCTTTCTTATCACACCTTGTCATTCTTTATAGTCTAAACTTAGATCCATTTTCTATGCTGAAAATGTTTTTGCAGACTGTCTTAATGGACCAAAGCCGTTTCCAAGAAATGCAGCTGGAATTGGACCAGCTTATTCTAATTGGTGCTATTCTTCTGGTCACATTCAATGCATCAGGCACAGCTCTTTCTGATTTGCCAGTTTTTACCAACGAACTCAAAATGGCTATCCAAGTATTGCTGACAGGGCTACACCTTCCGTGAGTACCTTGCAGATTTTGGTCCTTATGGTAAAATGTTATTTTGGTCTCTTATGCTGAATGTTATTGACATGAAACTTTGAGCTTAGGCCTACTTATTTGAAAGGATTCAGGTATTTTCTTCAGCTTCTGTTTGATAGTAAAAAGCCTTAAAATTATTGGGAATGTTATTTGCTTGGTAGATTTTTCTGAACTTGGAATAATGAATCTGCTTAAAATCAGCTGACCTCAACGTTACCCAAGTTGGTCTATTCAGCCTACAGATTCTGTGCTCCCAGCCAGCCAGCTAACCTAAAGCTACCAATGAACTCACATGTGCATTCTAAAAAATGCAGGTTTGAATTCTGCCCCCCCAAATCATAATTAACTCCTAGTGTGAATAGGAAATGCTACTTTGTCATTGTCATTTCTTTATGAATTTAATTTCCTATTCCAGGTAGTCCTCCACTTACGACTACAATTGAGTCTAAAATTTCTGTTGTTAAGCGATACATTTGTTAAATGAGTTTTACCCCATTTTGCGACCTTTCTTGCCACAATTGTTAAGTGAATCACTGCAGTTGGTAAGTTAATAAATCGGTTGTTAAGTGAATATGGCTTTCCCATTGACTTTGCTTATCAGAAGGTCGCAAAAAGTGATCAAGTGACTTAGGACACAGCAATGGTCATAAATATGAACCAGTTGCCAAGCATCTGAATTTTGATCACATAATCATATGGATGCTGCAAAGGTTGTGTGAAAAATGGACACATTTTTCAGTTGTGTTGTAATTTTGAACTGTTGTAAATCGAGGGCTACCTGTATATTTACAAGGCACAAAAATGATGACATAGTTTCCACTAATGCCACTTTTCTTCTTCAGGACTTCTTATTGGTTTTTATTTTTGGGCAAGGCTTATGATTTTGCTGTCAGATAAATCAGTTTTAAAGTTTCATGTGAGCTATTCTAATATATGGAAGCTTTTATCATTCTTTAATTCTTCTAACCTTTGTCTCTAGTTCCTTCAACTTGGATGAAACTTTGGCTGTTGTAAGTGAAAAGATTTGTGCTGAAGTTAACAGTTGCCTTTCCCAGCATGGCTTCACACCATTTACATCTGAAAAAGTGATTGTGCTTAAAGGACAAATCCAGGCTCTTGCCAATCCTGATAATGCTGTATGCAAACTGATAGGTATGCATTATGGATAAAATGAGTTTTGTTCAAAGTTTATAATTGTCCGCAAGTTCATATTCATATTTGAGAACATGCCATATGTTAATGTTATAAAAAAGTGGAAATTATTTGGGATAACCTTTGTGATAGACCATATCTTTTATATACATAAACAATTTCTTTTAGCTAAGTGAACAAACTAAATGATATTAAAAGATTAACGATTTTATCCTGGGATAATTGCAGATAGATAAAAAACAGGATATGAATCCTTATATTTTATATATTTGGATGCGACTAAAATACAAAGATGCATTGGGATATTTGGACTAAAAAGACAATTATGCTGAAGGAACTTTTAGTATTCATTATTGGGATAGGTTTCTTGAATCAGAAAGCAGCAGAATCCTTTAATTTATTTGACATAATGTATTTTTCGGACTATAAGACACATTTTTTTGACTCCCAAAAGGGGGTGAAAATGTCTGCGCATCTTATAGACTGAATATTGCCAAACCCTGCCCACCCGCCAGCCGGTTTTTTGCCTCCGCATGCAAATTTTGGGGGCTTTTTTCAGCCTGTTTTTGAGGCTTTTTTCGGCCCGTTTTCAAGGCTTTTTTTGGCCGATTTTTGAGGCTTCTTTTGGCCAGTTTTTGAGGCTTTTTTCAGCCCGTTTTCAAGGCTTTTTTTGGCCTGTCTTCAAGGCTTTTTTTGACCTGTTTTGAGGCCTTTTTTGGCCAATTTTTTGGGGAAAAAACAGCCTGAAAACAGCCTCAAAAACGGGCCAAAAAAGCTTAAAAATGGCCAAAAAAAGCCTCAAAAACAGGCCAAAAAAAGCCTTGAAGATGGGCAGAAAAGAGCCTTGAAAATGGGCCAAAAAAAAGGCTGGAAAAGGCCCGAAAAAAGGCCCGAAAATGGGGCACACGGAGGCCAAAAACTTTTTTTTGTTGATTTCTTCTTTTAAATTTAGGTTCATCTTATAGTCAAGTGCATCTTATAGTCCGAAAAATATGGTAAATTTAATTTGGTTCTTGATAAATTAACAAGATAAATTAAGACCTCTTAAGTTGTGTTATTAACTCTCTTCTTTTCTCAAGATTCAAGGATCCAGTTGTTTTTAGAGAATTACCTTGCTTGTGGTCATCAGAAATCACTTCCTCCTGTGCCTGGTGGATTGGCCCCTATTCAGAGAGAGCTGAAGGAGATTGCTATCAAGTATATTCGCCTTGTTGACTACAACAAGCTAGTTTTCAGTCCTTATTATGATTCAATTCTCAGCAAAATATTGAATAAAGAGTTTCCTTAGCTGTGAAGAAAACTGAAAAATGCCAAGTCCATTTGTATGCAGTCCCTCAACAATAGGGATTCAGTCGGGGGCCAGAAGGCTGTTTTAGTCTGCTTTTACTCTTTTTTGTCAAAATTATAGGGCTGGAAAACGAAAGCTTCCTTTAGATACCAGTTGTTCATTTAGGATCCCTACAATCAGTCCTGCCATGTTCTGTACCCTTCTGGGTCACCTCCCCCTACTCAGCCCACTGCTATTCAGAGACCTCTTTAAAACATTACCTGGGGCAGATACATTCATGCATTTAGGGTAAAATGCAGTATCTCAAGAATTGTGCTGATCATACTTCAATTGGACTTTTTACAGAAGTCCCCAGCATGGTTGGCTTGCATCACCGCATTCCACTTGTTCCTTTCGGATAGTAGCTTAGAGATACAGATAAATTTAGGAATCAAGTGATTTGCTGTATTCTGTCAAAGCAGAATCATACATGGAAAAAAATTGTGAATCTATGCTTGGATATTATTGCTGGCTTATTGTGGTTACCTTTCACCTATTGAAAAAACATCAAAACATTTAAAGAAACAGCTTTCCAAACACGTTTCCAAATAATTCAATAGCAGTGATCAAATATCGTTATGTATAATATACATAAAATATTTTGGCTTGGTATATAACTTTATTAGCTATGATGGCCATTGGCAACATATAAGGGTAATTATGAAAACCATCCTGTTCGCATAATGCAAAGTACATGCTAACAGGTTATATATATATAATTCTTCAAGCCTGTTCTAAAATCTACAACTTAAATTCCCACATATTCAGAGTTTGAATATTGGTAGTTAAAGCACTTTAGATGTATTCTGCAAGCCAAGGCTCTTTTGTGTTTCTGCGAGCCATGGTTTTCTATAGCATTTGTTTCTGTACCTGCAGATACTCGGTCAAAATCATATATTTTTGTAGAGTACTTTCCAGTTCTTTATTTCCCTATTCATAAGAATGCTGTTCTGTAGACTCAAGGAAGTGTTTTTCTTTTTACCTGTGAGAACTCTTTTGAAAAGAGCGGTTTCTTAGTTTTCTATTAATGTAGATTTTCTTTGCAGCAAATACAAACGAGACCTTGAATAAGAATTTTTCACTAGATATAACGAGAAAATGGGATGAGGTTTTAAACATTAAGAAGGAAATAAAAATGATAATATTAGAGAACAATGAAATAATTTCCTAGTTTCTTAGTTTTCTATTAATGAAGTATAAAATGCTACTAAAGACAAGCAAACTTTTATAAGCTGAAGCAGTTGAGTAAAATAAATCCACTGAATGTTAATGAATATCATTTACATAAAAGTTTGGGATTAGAAGAAAAGACAGATTAAAGTCCTAGCTTGTATCCTCCTTACTAGTGAAAATATGAAACTTCCAATTCAATTGCTATTTTAGTTGCAAATATTGGCATTAGTGTGCTCATCTATCTAGATCAGTGATGGCTAACCTTTTTGCCATCACATGCCAAAAGCGGGGGGGGGAGCGTGGGGGGTCACGAGTGTGTGTGCCCACATCCATAATTCAATGCACCCTCCCTCCCATGCATGCGCATGTGACCCCCCCCACTTCACCCTGCTTTTGGCACGCAATTGCACGGTGGGCCTGGTAGGCCCGTTTTTCCCCCTCCTCAGGCTCCAGAGGCTTTCTAGGAGCCTGGGGAGGGGAAAAACAGCCTTCCTCATCCCCCCGGAGGCCTTGCGGAGGCCGGAAACAGCCAGTTTCCCGACTTCTGGTGGGACCGGAAGGCTTGAAAATCAGTTGGCCAGTGCGCGCATGCGCGCTGGAGCTGAGCTAGGGCAACACTCGCGTGCCCACCAATATGGCTCCGCGTGCCATCTGTGGCACCCGTACCATAGGTTCGCCATCACGGATCTAGATGGTAGCTGGCAGAAATGAATTCTGTCTCACCTTTCCTGTTAGGCCTGCAGCACAGAATTTCACATGCTCAGGTCTGACACTGCTCAATCCAGAGGGGGAAAAAGATGCTTCTATGTATGCATATCTCTTGCTCAGTTGGATGCAAAACATTTATTGATTTATATGTTACATAAACATAAAGGTTTATGTTTATATGATTCATATGTTACAGATTGTTAAAATAGTTCATCTCTTATACAATTATTTAAATTTGCTTGGCTGCCTTAAAAACTAATTTCAAGAATTCATAAACATGAAACAATCTGGGGTTTTGACAAAATAACTGGGTTTCTGAAGCAGAATTACTGGTGGATTGCTTTCCAGTGTTGAAGTTTAATAAAATACATTCTATTTATTTATTATATTAATTAAGGTAGCTGAACTAAAAAGTGTTATGTGTTAGAAGGAAAGTTATATTCAAAAACAGAATAAAGCAGAGCAGCTTTAGTTGGAAAGATGGATGCAATATGGAGTCCAAATGTTTAGTGGCCGTCTGTTAAATATGACTCAGCTTTGTTGCCAAAGAGCAAAAGATCTGTTTTTTCACTTAAATAATCCTTTTAGTGATTAGAATTACTTAAAAACAAAATATTTGATCATATTCTAAATGAAACAATAATTGGTCTGATGCAGTTTAATCAAACCAATTGTTTTTTATTAGATTGTTTTATTGATTTTTTTTGGTAATTTCTTTGTTGATTGTTGTGAGTTGCACAGAGATGCTGGGAGTTGGGTGGCATAAAAATTTTATTATTATTATGTCTGGTTGCACAATTAGCCAGATGTTTTAGAATGGATTTGGCATTTTTATTTATTATTATTACTTCAATCCAACAACAATTTCAGTATATCATTGAACACTTTATGAAGGATTTGCTTTTTATTTAAAGAATGCTCCCATAAATGCTTTCTTTTTGAAATTTAGAATTTTAATAAGCAAAAATAGGAGTCCAAATGTTTTTGTTTTATGTAAACAAGCAGTCTAAAACTAGTATTTCTAACATTAAAAGAATGGCCAGAAATGGTAAAGCCAAATTTAATCGTTCAGTCTCACCAATTCTGGAAAATTAGCCCTTACTTTAAACTTTTTCATTAAAATCAGTTAGTCTTCAGATTTTTAACTATTATCTGATATTTAAATTTACCTATCCACAATTTTATTGCTTTAAGACAGAAAGCAATTGAAAAAAACCCTTATTGATGGAAATTTAGTATTTTATCAGAATTGTCTATGTATGTGTTTATGGGTATTTTTGAATTATTAATATTCCAAGCTTGATGTTTTTCCTCAGTGTTGCTGTCATCTACGCTGTATGTGCATCTTTAATGAGATGGTAATTGTCTGTAATAAATTAATAATTTTGATGCTTGTATGTAGTTTCCAATAATTTATCTCATTTTTGCTGTTCTATTTTCACCATTGTCAAACATTTGTTTATTTCACAAATGCTTGCTTTAGGTTTGGGTTTTGCTTCATTGTTTCCTTTGGAACTTTTATCCCCGCACTAAGCTCTAAAAGAGAAATGCTGCATTAAAGTAGGCAACTATTTAGGAAACGCAAGGTTTTCTAAAACGACTCCCACATTGTAAAGAAGTGACAAAGAGGAAGAGGAATGACCAAGAGTCCTGAAGAACTGAAATTCAATTCAGGTTTGGCAAATCCATTCATTTGTAAGGGTGAACTTTGTGCCTGGTGCTTGAATGGATCTTTGGTGCAATAACTCTAAGATTCCTGGAAGCCTGAAGTCTATTACTTAATAGACTTAATAAATACTTCTACGTATGCTCTCTCAGACCATCTAAACCAGTTCCTTCTGATTTTGTTGATGCAAATAATATAGGAAAGCCCAAAGCTCAGATTCTTTCAGCATCTCTCCAGAGACACCAAAGTTTGTGTTTCTTGTATGGAGCAGATGAAGTAGAATCTGATGCTAAGTTACAAAGTCTTATTCCTGTCAAAATCCCAACAATGCATGGGTTAGAGAATGTTAACTATTTTCAAGGACCACAGTACTACCTCTATATTAAAATTATCATAGTACACAGAATAAAGAGAGAGGCACTTTTTATATGAAATTTGTAATCAGATTTGCATTTTGCAGACTTCAACTTGAAATGTAAACTTTCTCTGGAGTGATTTAAAAGTACTGAGAAAGGGCAAAATAGTAGGTCAGAGCGATAAATTCTATAATTAGTTGTTTTGACTATAGAAACACTAAGTGATTTTATACCTTCCATACAATTAAAGGTAATAGACAAGTGGCAAACTAAAATCTTGTCCCTTATCTTCAAGCTAGCTCTGTGCTGGAAAAAAGGTAACTATCACAGTACTTAGCATTTTATTTTGTAATTTGATAAATGCCAGAAATATTTTCTGCATCCAGTTATTATTTATATAACAAAAACAAAACTGTTTTTGTTATAATGTTAAACTTTTGACTGATAGAAAAGTTGTATCTTCCCTAAATTATCAATGACTACTATTGTATGCCTGGAGAATTTTCTGACTAGCATTGATTTAAGTGTCAATGAAAATGGGAACTCTTCAGTTCAAAAGGATCTCAAACCATTTTCTATTTCTATATTTCTATGAAATAATTTTATTTCTATAAATTATATTATTTGAATTATGAGCAGACCCCTTCTAGATACTTTTGTGAATTAATTTTCATGCCCTGGAAAATTATCTATTTTTTTAATACTGTGATACAATTATTAATTGCATCTTTGAATTACAAATTTCATTTGTCTTCAAAGCTTATTTCATATCACTTTGTCACACATCAAGTCTAAGGAAAATAATGCTAAAGACAAACTTAAATATACACTTATCCAAGGAAAAGTAAACACCAGCGGAACCAAATTTCATTTCAGTATTTAAGATTAGTGGTTTTGAGATACTGACAATTTTTGTGTCAGCTAGAAAAAAAATCATGAGGCGTAATTTTATGGAGATCCTTTATTTGAAAGGAACATTTGTTTTTCTATTTTAAACTACAAAACAGCTTCCATTCATTCTGCCATAAATTAAAATGAAGAATAAGGCAGGACAGACACTACATGAGCAAAGTGAGAACGGTTTGTTTTTCAAAAATGTGAATTTAAAATATTTCCCCATTTATAAGCTTTCCAGTTTTTAAAAATAAAACTGTCAAAATCCCCACAAGAATTCAAGTGGTGTGTGAGGATACATCTGAAGACCAATGAAACACATGGCAAACACATTTTGCATGGTCTGTGTCCCAATGTGTAGTTGCTGCCAGAACTCAGATTTGCTCGTTCATCTGCCCTTTTCCTTTTCTGATGAAAAAACAGCTGGTAAAAAAGAGGCACCACAGTAACAAAACAACTTCAGTTGCAAGATGCATGTTAGAAACTTTCAATTCTTTTTAAACATTTGATTTGTTGAAAGACAGCATATTACAAGTCCTTTAGATTTTCACGACTGAATTTGCGACATGCCTCATCGGATTCGTTTCTGTTGTCGTGCTCTGTAAATGTCATGAATTGGAGGAACCACTGATCCTTTTTCCTCGTCATCATCTGAATCTTCGTTTGGTCTTTTGACAGATTTATTGAGAAGGGCATTATTTTCCAAAGGTCCATTCCCTTCCATTGTAAGGTCAGGCAAGCCTCCCGTAATAATCCGTACAGCTTCATCCACAGCTTCAGAAGAGGGAAGAAAAGAGTTCATTTTGTGAAAAAAGGTTTGCTCAATAGTTGTGAACATACACATGATTTATATTTAGAGATATAAAATACATCAGTAATTACGAGAAAGGGATAGAATACTCTCTAATATTTTTGCTCAAATGGCCATTCCCTAAAGTTAAGGATGACCCTGTTTATATAACACCTTTAATCCAGTCAGCCTCTGACCCAGTGAAATGACCTTACTGGGGATCACCATAACCAACTCTATAGATCTATCCAAACACCATAACCAACTCTATAGATCTATCCAAACACAGATCTATCCAGTTTCTCTAAGAACGGTCCAGGTCAATCTAGCAAAGTTCCATTATATCACCAGGCCTGAACCCATTGGCTAGGAAAGTAGTTATCTGGGATCTGAGTGGGGAACAAATAATCTGATTGGAACAGGAACAACACAGGTGATCATGTACTACCGCCAGGCACTTCCAAAATGGGGGCCAGAGGAAAAACAACTTACTGTCTGGAAGTTTGCATCTTCTGACAATCTCCATGAGTTCATCCACTTGCACAAATGGACCCTGCATACACACACAAAAAGATTAGCCATTTAATAGAAATACTGACATAAAAGCATTATAGTTCAATAAATGTAATATTAATGAAATGAGGCAGTAAACTACCAAAGTCTTCAGAAGATTTCATTATATTACAACTAACCTGAAAACATACAGGAGGTGGGAGAAGTTTCATTAGAACTACAGCAGCAGGTGGAACAGGAAAGACACCACCAGGAACTGGATGTAAACCTGGAGCTGGAATAACAACAATAATAAATAAACAAAAATAACTCTTAATGGTTTTATAGCAAAAGTAAAAAGGCTTGATTGGAGTTTTGTTTATTTTGGAGATGAATCTTACAAGGCGTCATATGCAATGAATAAAAATCTGAGATCAAATGACTTAACTCAAACTTCATGCACTACAGAATACATGCGTATGGGTGAATTAGAAAAGTATTTTAAAAATAAAAGTTTCAGTCACAATGTAGCAGAGAATTTCCCTTTTTATCTTGATAAAATTTAGTAATCATCTTACGTGCTAAATGTCTTGGTTGAAATGGAATCATTTGCTGGGTATCTGGTTTTGGATATTCTGGCTTTCTGTCTGCTTCATCTTTTAGCACAGGCACTATTGAAGGTGCCACTACAGGATCTGGAATTATGGTTGATAGCTTTGCACGAGAGACATCCTGGAAATTGTATTAAAAGAAAAGTGTTAATGAATCCATGTGACTTAATTAAAAAATCTTTAAATGATGAAAGTGTGCAATGGACATAATGTAAGATTCTCTGTTAACTTACCTTATAACCAAGAGCTTTGAGTTCACTGGCAGAACAAGGGTACAGATCCATGAATTTATACCTGTCTACCAGCAAAGCTGTTTCTTTGCCCTCATATTCTTCCTTGAAAGCTGTAAACCTTCGTTTCTCAACTTTTAATATGCTAGCCAAGTCACCAATATTGCTTTCAAAAGCTAAAAATCGAGCCCATATTTCTCTGTATAAGAAAATACCGAAGAAAACAAATAACCCAATAACAATTAATTCATATGCTCAACAAGAGACAGAAAAATCAAAATATAGAAAGCATGCTTATTTAAGCATATTCTAACTACATTGTCTAAAATAGTACCAATGTCTTTTGCAACTGTTCAACTGTTCAGCAGGTTTCAAATCCAATTTATTGCAAGACTCACTGCTACATGTTTACTAAAAAATATTTTATGTGTTGGTGGCTTGCTACTAATCAGCTCTGTCTTTGCATGAGAAACTATTCTAGTCTAATGTTAAATTTATTGTAAACAAATACCAGTCATTTTTTTTCTTATAACCAAAAGGCACAGCAATTGCCCATAGGTTAATTTTAGCTGCCTCCTTTTTCTAGAAAATGTTTATTTTAGATCCAGAAAAACTGACAACTGAGTCTATTCTATAAGCTGCCCTAGTAAGGAGGGACAGTCAAAAGAAATGATTCTATACTTAATATTGATTCTGGCGAATGGCAACCAGTCAGTTTATGTATAAAAAGGGAGCCATGGTGGAAGAGCTCTTACAAATAAAATGGAAACAAAATGAGCTGCATGCATAGATTGTCAATTCACTACATTTAGGAGCAAAATGGCAGACAAAATAGTTATTTATTAAATTTAGACAAACGTAATCCATAAATGTACATAACTCCCCAGCACTTTTGTTCCAAAAAATAGGGTCCAAGTGGAAATCATTTGTTAAATGGAATAGTTTTCAGTGAGTAAACACAGATGAGTTGAGGAAGAATGTACAGTGAAAGCCAGGAAGGAGGTATGATCATTCATTTATGTATGTTTGTATTAATCAAATTTATACACCACCCATGTCACTGTACAAGTGACTTTCACACTAAACTCATTACTATAGTTTTCAAAGCATAAACATAGATGAGATGGGAAAGCATGTAGGTACAAAGCAGGCAGGAAGGTGGAACTATTCATTCATGTATATATGTATTAATTAGATTTATATGCTGCTGATCACACTGTAAGTGACTCTGAGTGGATTACAGTAAACTCATTTCTGATGCATGCGGGTCAAAGTGCCAAAGCATGCCAGGTCAGATCAGAACACCATCAAAGCATTTGGGGGCATCCATAAAATGAATGCCAACAGAATGTGCTACA